CGAGTTGGTACGCAAATTCAACAGGAAAAGAAAAAACCGGGAAGGAAAAACATATTTCGGTATGGAAACAGCGATAGACGTCACCGCCCGCTGCATGTGTCGCGTAGCGTTGTCTATTGAGGATTGTTAACGATAGAGGAATGCCCCGTAAGCGATTAACTTATATTTGCAAATGTAATGGGAAATTGTCTAGGTAAACAAAAAGAAGAAAAAAACATTTAAGCGACTTTCTAGATAAAGAGCCTTGACATTGGTAGTTCGATGTTGATGGATATTAACTTTTTGACTAAACTAACGAAGGCTATAGTATTTTTAAATTAACACCTAGCGGTACACATTATAGACCGCGACTTAGGATGAGAGTTTTACTGACAAACTAATCGCATATTGATGTATCAGCCTAAGCTTAATAGCTTTAGTAGATAATAACCATCGTTACTGTATTCGCCCTTTGCGAGGGATTCTCCCTGCTATTCTTTCGATTCGCCGCGATGTGAGATCTCGAGAGCAGCTTGCGGACATTTTTACGCTGCCGTTTCGCTATTTCTTCATTTCAGCTTTTCATGCTCTCGCTGTGGCTTCTCCCCTCTTGTCCCCTCACCCGCGAGCAAACAGGAATGCGAGAGTGCGAGAGAAAGGAAGACGGCAAGGTAGAACAGAACAGATTTAATCTTGCTCTAGTAATGCTTAATGTCTATGTAATATTATATAACGTACTATATACAATTATTTAGATGAAGTAGGGTATTTAAGATGAAACACTAAAAAAACGAACAAAGCGCGGAACGCTTCTTTCGAGCTCTCGCGATGATCTACTTAAGAGGCACGCTCTTACGGAAAATACTCTATTTCGCTGGAGACAAACCCTGTAGCCGGAAATACCCACCTTGGAAACGTTCGAATGCACCTTCGGCCTGAAATCGAAGAAAAGCGTCCAAAGTATTCCCCGCCCCGACCCCACTCTCTCAATCTCCTGTACTAGAATACTCTGTTTGTCTGACCATGTAGAAGGGTCTACTACTGAATAATATTACTACTAGTTCGTACAGAGAATACTTACGTATCACCTATGGCTTGCGAGACAATGTAATTGCACTTTAATCAACGATTTCCAAGTATAATGTAGTAGAAAGTAGCACAAGAGTTTGTTTTCTCCGGATCGAAATTTAAATAATAGATCCAACTTCACCTTCTCGACTCCGAGTCTCGTCATCTCCGTGTTGAAATCTATTAAAATCGAGCGTGTTTCTTCCCCGCTTGTGTGTAAGCTTTGCGCCTCTTGCGAGATGCTTCTTAGATCCTCGATCTTATGAACGCATATACAAACCACATAAAGACACACACACGCGCACGCACGAACACATACACACGCGCGCACACACATACACATACACACACACACACATACACCACATGTTTTGCATGCATTCGGAAACATGACGGACAATTACACGTAAACAAGTTTCATATAACGCGTTTTATCCCATTCTACATGTAGACACATTTGCACGTTTAAAAGGCTATGCTAAGAACAACAATATGTATGTATTTAGCGAATATTCCCTGTTAGCGCGCGTGTAGCTAAAATCAAGCTGCTTAATAGATGATACGTCATCACTTTCGCTATTTGCTGCATTGACAATTTTCTTCCGTGTCGCGTGGTGGTTTCTATTGTCGATTCGAAAACGGCCATAAAATAATTCAAGTTTCAAGTAAGACTTTCTCACGCGTAGCATGCAAACTTAGTATTCTCTATAATTCTGCATTTTATTAGCGAGAAGATAATCGAAGTCAGCGGAGAAATTTGATTATGTATGTGTGATTATAACAAAAGAGAAAATATTTCACATTTATGATATAAATTTTTTATATTAGATATTTGGAATGTAGAGAAAAAAGATTGTGCTTCAATATTAAACTGGCCTTTTCAAATCCACAGTGATAGCTACCACTCTGTTGCTCGATCAGTATTATCGTTCGAGCGTCTTTCTTCCCGATCTTTATTATAACACTTTCTTCCCCGATCAAACGTTCTCCCCGATATTGTGATGTGAGACACACTTCTGTTCGCAGTATTAGTTCCCGGTGCCTTTATCCTCGGAAAAAAGTGATTCGATGTTGAATTTTATTTTATATCTTGTTATGAAGATGGCTTGATCTCTAATCCCTATTCCCGCCGTCATGCCCCTTTGAACATAATAACACGGTCGCCCCCCTTGACTATAAGTTTTCCAGAACAAAAGAAAACATAAACGAATCAACAATAAGCAACGCGTGAAGACTAAATTGAAATTAATCTATCGGGAATCTACGAGATTAAAGAATAAAAAAAAAATAAAAAATCACATAATATTTAAGGTCATGAATTTATAAAGATATTTACACTTTAAGAATAAAGAGAATCTTCTGTGGCAGCATAATATACGGAAAATTACTAGTTCGACACTTAAATTAACCATACGTTGGGGACGAGGACGAAGGGTTTTCTGGATACACAGACGCGAGGGTAGTGTCCCGACGATCCTTCGGATCGCTGCGTCTTCCAACAGTGATGTAACTATTAACATGTAATCCCTTAACGTTATATTTTTTCGGTGGTAGCACTCGCATTGACGCTAAACGCTACGTTTCCGCGACACCAATGTGCGAACGACATTTGAAAGCAACTGTGAGAGACAGCGGTCGGCGCGTTTAGCGAAAAGTCGAGAGCTGTACTAGCCGCCGGCAGTTTGTGATATATTTAGTGAAACAAATTAAAAAATGGTTGTTATTCAAATTAAAAAGAAAAGGAGAAAGAGGGAGAGAGAAGAGAAGCGCCTAGCGGTTTTACATCTATACACACCAAAAGAATTTGGTAATAACTGCGCGCGTTGCTGAGAGCGATCCGATGCATATAACGCTGAGAATAAATATCATAGGGCATTCCGTGGTAGATGATAAGCGGGTGGTTGCCTTTCGAAGTCTTTTTGTGGTCTCCGCAGTTTTAAAGAAACGTTTTATTCGAGATTGAGACGACTTGAAAATTGAAGGCGATATTTTAATAGCGAATTCATCTTTCCTGTTATGATGTGTGCCTTAAAGTTGAAAAGCAGAAAAATGTGAGAATAAAATCCCAAAGAAATAACTATATCTATTTAAATAAGTCTGTTTAATAAGCATTATTAAAGGAGAGGAACTTTTATTCTTCAAGTTTTTTTACCTTTTGAACTCTAAGGCTTGGCGAGTGAAGGCAGGACGAACTGGAAATGTGTGTCACTTTAAGTCAGAGCTATCGCTTTTAAAATGACTCCTTCAGTTCATTTGTTAAGCATAAAGCTGAGATGCGGACAAACAAAGCCTTTCTTTGGAAAGGTAACAGGCACTGTTAACTTACCATTTTAACGTTATTTATTGTTACATGACGAGTTTATACATATTAAGCCGGAGTCATTTCTACTCATTACGTCACACAATTTTCTCGCACCAATAGATTATATACAAATAAAAATGAGTCAATACATGGATGTTAAATGCGTTGTCACCGTTGTTAAGTACTGCGAATGAATTATCAATGTTACATTTATACTTTTAGGTGAGATTTATCGCATTATAATTGTTGAGTGAGACTCAATAGCTACTGCGATACATTTTATCCACGGTTGTATATGTAACATTCATTGACAATTCATTCGCTGTACTTAACAATTCATACAATACCCATATGACATAATTTTTTATAATGATGTTCAATAATACCGATTAAACTACCGTCTTACATCGCCGGCTTTCTCTCAGCAGCGTTGACCGCCGTGTATAACTAACTGTAAATTTTAGGTATTACCGCGCGTATAGTAAGGAAAAAAAGCGATAAGTGAAATGAGGCGAACTATCGTGGAGGAGAGGAGGAATAAGAAGAGAAACAAAAATGATAATACACATAACAACACACACTATATATTGTAATATTATTTTTCGAACATAGTAATGTAATGTAGAATATAATATATATATTATATATATATTATATATATTATCGTACATCGTAACGATCATTTCGGATAGCGTTAGGCTAGACGAGGTGTTTTTGGAGGTTTAAGAGATTAATTAAGGTGGGCCAGAAGCGGGCGGGCGTGCCGAACGGCGCGAGGTCACACTGATATTTTTACCAAGTTTTTCGAATATTGAGTCCCCTCAATTCCTACATGTATAATGAGAACTTAAATGTACCTTCGCGCCACTGCCGCCCCCGCGCCATTTATTAGCGAGCACCCGCAGGCCAGTCGTCGAGGTTCGATTCGACTTTCGAAGAAGATGTTTCACATCTCTCGTAGAGCAAACGACATATAAACACAATAACGTAAATAACAAAATCACTATACTTGCTGTGAAATTGCGATTTCTACGATTAGCTCTTGATATATAGCTAATTGAACGCCATTAAATATTAAGGGAGCAATCGACATCTCTTAATAAATGAATTTCTCAATGCGAAATTGTGCCATCTATAGACCAAATTAAAAATAAACAAATATATATTTTATTGCGAATATCAGAGTTCTTTGCACGAAGACAATATTTATAGGGTAACATAATTGTCTTTTTCTTTCATTTTAAAATATTTCTTTCTTCTAACGTAACTCTTATTCAACAGTTACTTGAAGTTGAGTTTATGTCGATTGTTCTCGTTTTATAATAAAATACAATTGATCGATACTGATGGAAAAATAACAAACGATACGCATCTGTTCAATAATTTTGAATTTTTGACGACTGGTCCGCGGAGAATTTTCAATTTGTCGCGTCGACGATCGAAACGACACGGACGAGATAATTTTACGAACAAAGTCGAACTATGAATAGGCATCGGAGTAATCCTTGTTCGATTGTGATGTTTCATTTCTCGACGCGATACGTGCGTATTTTAATTTTTTATTGTCCAAGGAAGGACGAAGAATTGAGCAGAGAAAGAGGCGTGTACAGTGGGAATGGTTGGTGATTGTAATACGAGAAAAAAAGAAAAAGAAAAGGAAAGTCAAACCCACTCCCCCGTTCCTTCCCGCCCTCCTCTCCCTTCATCTCTTACTTTTAAATCCATCACTTTGGGAAATTTCTCGAATGTCGGCCCGAAATGGACAACATAAAGCGAGAGACGTTTTTCTCAATGGCGAGAAAACGACTGTGTAAATTTGGCGATGACTAATGTAATACGTAAAAAAGAAAAGATGTTTACTAATACGTTGTGTTTTAATATACAAATATCAAATATTATTGGTTGTCGAATACGCGCGCCGATCGAAATTCAAAACTTATGAAGTTGCGATTAAGATAGAACATCTTCCTTTCATTTTGTTTTTATATGCAGTTGTTATTCGATGTTTTGTTGTACGAATATGCTGGCATGTTGAATCGTGGATGAGAAGTCAAGTGTCACGAAGCTGGACGTATCTATTTCTTGTAAGACGCAATCCGCTCGTTACGACATGTAAGTTCTGCAAACAAATTTACGCACTGTATCAACACCGCTCATGACAATCTAATTTGTCCATCGTTCCCCTAAGCGAACTTCCGCGGTTCTATGCCCTGTTTTCCGAAGTGAATCAGAATATTTCATACAATGCAGATAGACTGTCGTAATGCTTGTTCCATCGCAGCAGTACGAGCAGATTGTGTGTTACTTTTAATAGAGAAGAGAAATAACTATACGGACTAGGGAAAAAAATTAACATTGTGATGTTCATTGATCAAATATGTCAAAAGAAGAAGGCCCACTGGTTGCGGCCCGACATTTCTGAGTACACTATAAATAATAAACATTATGTAAAATTTATTGAATACCTCGTACACATTTTATTATATTACTTTATCCTTCTTACCTATTTCTGTATTCCTCAATCATTGATAATGGAGAATAAATTAAGAATGATGACGATTGTTTTAACATAGCAACAGCGGTAGTTTAGGAATTGCAAACAATTGAAGTTTTAATATATCTTAAGCTTTCCAACGTAATTTTAAAAATAAAATAATTTTAGAAGATTTCAACGTTTTATTCAATCAATTACGTCAATTTTAAATTAATCGATAAATCTATAATTGGCTGCAAACACAGTGAAAACTCTGAGGTATCTTGTAACACATCTCTCTTCCTTTTCCATATCTCGATGCGACGGAATATATCTCGTTATTTCGTGGCAGTGAAAAATTGTGACGACCGGTGATATTTTTCTGTGGAACCGCGATGCTAGCTTAGCGCAAATATCGGGGAATTTATACATGCTGCGACAATATTTCACGCGGTATCAGATGTCACGGTGGCTGCGAATTACATTACGAACGCTTAGCGATACTGTTGCAACGAGATGCATGTGCAGACAGATGTTTGAAATAGACGCACGTATTGCGACCGACCAATCACCGTTTCGATGAATATGCCGTGAGGAAATATATTGCGCGTATTCATCGCGGCGCTTGCAAATGCACGATGACGGTGGACGATAAAGTTGCGATTGCGCACTGTCGGAAAACAACTCTCCTATCGTTTTCGCTACGTGAAAATCCATCGTGAAGTTACTGATGCGATTCAGTGTGGACAATATGAGTAGGATTTTCTCTTCGTCGAGATAAAAAAGATTGCACAGCACAAGTGGAAATAGGATCATCCAAGTTTCATAAAATATAAAGAAAAATTTGTTTTTAAAACAGAATAATAAAAAAATCACATAATTGCAAGTGCTTTTCTTTAATTCTTTACTAATTCTTAAAAAATGTTCACTTTATTTCATATTTATTTCTTTGATAGTAATAGTAGAAGTAATGTACGAAAGTCCATTCAATCGGCAAGAGTGTCTGATTAAATTATTGCCGTATTTATTACAGTCCGCAATGCGAGATTTAATTTTTTCTGCAATTAATTATCTTTCTTCTGTCAAAAAAGAATGCTATTAAAAAATATATATTTTTAGTAATTAATATATTTTCATTTTTTTTGTCAATTTTCTAAAATGCAGTCCAAGTATCGAAACTGAACTATTAAGGATACGCTACGTAAAATTGGTATGTATAAAGTTTGGTATATATAAGGTAATAAAAAACTGTATTTGTGTGTGAGTGTGCAAGAGTTCAGTTAGGAAAGATCTTGTTAAATGAATTATTAAGTATATCTCGCTAGTACAGAGTATTCCGCAGAACGAAGGGAACTTTTGCTAAAACGGTTGGCAGTTCTGGCTTGTCTGTTTCTACTTGGCCTACTCTCCGTATTCCACACGGGTTTTCGCAATCACCACGCGGAATCGCGCGTAAAAACTCACGACTACGTTCACGATTAGACTCGGTAACGTGGCTAATGAACCTAAGTGCAACGATGCAAACGCTACAGTCGACAGTTCATTACAGCGTCTCGCGTAACCGCGTAATTAACTCCGAAGCGCCGTCGAAATCGGAGTGATTATCGTTGAAGCGGATGGTTGCTGCGAGTGTTCGTCCTGAAAGATGTGGTGGTGTTATCGGAAAAGACGTCACCCCATGCGATTGGATATAACATTCTCGAGGAACGATCGACAAAAAGTCGAGAAGGTCCAACGTGCTTCCTTGATTTGAGATCTCGAGACTTCGCGAGAACTCGCGTGTGCATCGTGATTGCATGCGTATACGTGTGCAATAGTATACGTAAAACTACTGCACGGTGCGAGCTGTTCACAAGGATATATCTCTCCTGTCACTCAGACTGTGTAGGATTTCGCCGATGGATATTCGCGGGTAAATGTACTTTTTTTCTTATAATGCAATAAACTTCTAATTTAATTATTGTTCTACGTTTCTAACTGGATTTTTCATCGTTATCTCAGATTAAACTCATCGATCTTGACAATTTCCTAACCAAAATATTTGGCCTATATTTTTTTTCAGAAAAGACTGTCGTAATTATGTGATGATTGCTGTAGTTATTATAACGTGTGTTAAACCGGCGATTGAGAGCTATTTTGTAAAAAAATGTGTTTATCTAAATAAGTAAAAGAATTTAAATGAACCGAGAGTGTCTGTATTGCTAAATATATGTACTGAGTAATATAATAAATATGTGTAATAAAAATCTATATTTTTAATATATTTAATTTTTTAGATAATAAAAATTTTATGTAGATTGATATTTTATTAAATTATTATTTTATGTAATTCCTATGTATATAAGATAAAATAATTTATTATTTTCACAAATGATTAAGGTTCGGATTAAATTGATTTACTCAATCAATTTATTTTTTATTGATTATATTATTGTTCGAATTTACTTGCTCTTGCAAATGTTTTATTATATCGCATTGTTTATAATTTATAGAATTGTCACTTGATTAATATTTCAATATTTTTTCGAGTAATATCTCAATATATTATATAAAAATACCGCGGAAAGAAAATTCGTCACGTGACATGTAAAATTAGTATAATATAATAATATAAAAACATATTATATAATATAAATGTGCACTAATCTTTTAACTGTAGAAATAATAGTACTATTAATGCAAAAAGAAAATTATTACTTTAACTTTATTCCTGCAAAAAATATTTGACCGTTTTAAATTAAAATATATGTTTGGTCTCCAGTGACACAATGGATGATGATATCGATGATAAAGACGATACAAAGCGGTAAGAATATATTTTAAATGCTTATATGATGTGTTTAATGTTTATTCTGATAAGCATTAAATATATGAATATTTTTCTTTCAGGAAATCGCGTAATCTTAGCGAAAAGAAACGCAGAGATCAGTTCAACATGCTCGTGAATGAACTCGGCAGTATGGTTAATGCCAATACGCGAAAAATGGACAAATCTACAGTACTGAAATCGACAATTTTATTTCTAAAAAATCACAACGGTAAAAATTTTTTGGAGCATTCTTTTTATAAAAGCATTTTCAATATTTTCTTTTAAAACTATCAAGTTCTAATAAATTGACAAATTTTGTTCTCGGAATAAATTTTATGTATTTTATTTAGATAAACTTTTAAACTATATTTTTTATTAAAAAGTTATATGGACTGTATATAATCGATTGTTTTTAGAGATAGCAGTTAGGTCGAGAGTCCACGAGATTCAAGAAAATTGGAAACCGTCTTTTCTTTCTAACGAAGAATTTACTCATCTTATATTAGAGGTAAAACCACTAACAAGTGAAACGTAGAACTATAATAAATCTTATAATGTTGTAGGTATTTATTCGTACATAATTTTTTATGTAAATATAGGCATTAGAAGGATTTATAATGGTGTTCTCATCAAACGGATGTATTTATTACGTCTCCGAAAGTGTTACATCTCTGCTTGGATATCTTCCGAATGAATTAGAGAACACGACTATTTATGATATAACATATCATGAAGATCAGCCGCATTTATACAATGTACTACTGAATCCTGGCGGTACACGAGATAGACGCACTGTGAAAAAAGGTAATTTCTAGGATTGTTATAAGTTACGAGGCCTTTTTAAAATTTCTATTAAATACAATCTTTTATATTTACAGAGGATCAAATATCTTTTACATGTCATATCAGAAGAGGCGGACGCGATTTTCGGGACGATTCCATCTTTGAACTTGTACATTTTATTGGATATTTTCGTGAGTAAAATATTCCCTAAATGTTAAGTCAGCAATATCATGAGAATATTCAAATAATTTTATGTTATTACAGGTTCCGCCGCAGATGGCAATGTAGACAATTTACTGCGCAATCAAAAATTTAGCAATACCAGCGAATCAGACAAGTATTATTCTAGATTTTGTAAAATATAAAAATAAAAAATTGCATTGCAGTGTACTCACATTTAATTTTGCAGATTAGTCTTCGTGTGTACAGGACGTCTTCAAACTCCGCAACTCATCCGTGAATTATCCGTGACGGATAATGCAAAGTCAGAATTCACTTCTCGTCATAGTCTTGAATGGAAATTTCTATTTTTGGATCACAGAGCACCGCCCATCATCGGATATCTTCCTTTCGAAGTGTTGGGCACTTCTGGTTACGATTATTATCACATAGACGATTTAGACAACGTAGTCACGTGCCACGAATCACGTTAGTATTGATATAATGTGATAAAAGGTGTAATCAATTTTTAATCGTGTTACCTTTTAGTGATGCAGAAAGGCGAAGGAACGTCTTGCTACTATAGATTCCTCACGAAGGGTCAGCAGTGGATTTGGCTACAGACCAGATTCTACATTACGTACAATCAGTGGAACTCAAAACCTGAATTCATCGTGTGCACGCATTACGTGGTCAGTTACGTCGACGTATTGAAGGAATTGCGCGCGGAATCGGAGGATTACGATAAAACGCAATATCAGGATGTTTTACTGCCCGTAAAACAGGTAAGACGATATGCAATTGTAGAGTTTCATAATTATTGCGATGCCAATTGTGTGGAATAGAACAAATGTACGGAATTTGTCTTGTTTATAACTTGATCATACATTCTTATTGCATGTTTTATTGGCGGAAACGGATATTGCAAACAAATATCTGCAAGAGAATGATGAACAGAATTAAACAATAGAAAAATTAAAATAGCATTTTAAAAATTATTATTTAATGTATGCATACGTTCTTTCTTTTACAAATTCTTTGATTGATAAAGCCGTGTACAGTGATAAGGTCATTTAATTTGGAATAGATATTAATGTACAAAATAAAAAAAAATATATAGAGAAAATTTTTTTTGCATATATGTATATGCAATATCGACAATATTATTATAATTTTAACTCAATTTTGTATATATATTATAATTATATTTGAAACATAGTTCACACTTACACGTGTATATAGGTGACGGCATCTTGTCAAACACCATTAACACAATGGTCAAATAAATCGCCGAAGAGTTCGAAGTCAATGCCAGTCTCTTCCAATCTCCATCATTGCGGTGATGGTTTTAATACGTCTTCAATATCACTCTCGCTACGAAGTTCTCCGCAATCACAAATAATACACGGATCACGATCAAACGCGGCTTCCACGAGAAGTTTCGTTGCCTTAAAGCCGGTAGCGTCGGTAGACAGTAGGCAACAACAACAACAGCAACAACAACAACAAACACAACAGCAACCACAACAACAGCAGCAGCAGCAGTCTCAGTTGGATGTCAATCAATCATGCATTAATTTTATGGATCCTACACAATACGCAACAGTTAATCTGCAATCAGTTGTCACAGGAGGATTTGCAACATCTGCTGCTCCTATACTTTCAACTGTGCCTACTCATGAGGTAAAAAAATAAATTTAATTCAAATTTATTACGTATTAAAACTTATATATACAAAGTACAATTTTCGCTTACGATTGCATTTTAAATACATAATTTTTGAATGGATAACACTTTATATATAATTAATTTTGATAAATTGAGTAAGTTTTTTTAATTTTAACCATATCATCAATTAATTGTAAATTTAACTATGTTTAATTCGTATTTATAATGTCCTAATGTATAAGTTATATTCCTGATTATTTTCAAATTTGTATTTCGTTTTATTTTTAATATTCCAGATGTTACATCAACAGAGCATAGTAATGACTCCCGCACAGAATCAACTACAAGACGAATTACAACGAAAGCACGAAGAGCTACAACAGCTAATCGTTCATCAACAAGAGGAATTGAGGAGGGTTTCAGAACAATTATTTATCGCTCGATACGGGATTCTTACGCCATTACTTAATGTTCGTATGTTTCATGAATTAGAAACTCTGCAACAATATCTAACAACTCTTAAATTTATTAACTTTTTAGTGACTAATTTATATTTAAGACTTCTATCTAATAATTTATTTATTATATTGTTTTCTAATTTTTTTAATTTTTTAAGTTTAAATTTAGTAATTAAAATTGATAATTAAAATGATATATATCTGCATTATTATATGCTATCTGCTTGGAAAAGTATTAATAATCATTAATCGACATTTATGTTTTTTTTCAGGCGGGTATAGCGTACAATCCATCGAACCAGTGTCAACAAACGAATCGGTGTAACACCAACAGTGCTAACATGCAATTACCTGCATCCAATAGCGTACAAAGTGTGAATGTACTTCCCATACCAATCACCGTGCCAGTGCCTATAGTGTCTACTGAATTATTTTCTCATTCTTTACAAAATCAACAACAACATTCACAGTTGCAACAGCAGCAGCAGCAGCAGCAGCAGCAGCAGCAACAGGGTCCACCGCAGCAGGAAGACAACAATCCTGATCTTATGTCTTTCCAAATCTGCCCTCAACAGACTGAAATGATGTACGGTAGCATGGAAGCATCCTTGAATCAACAGCAGAGATCTTCGTAAAATTAAAAACTCTTTCGATTGTATTCATTGACCAGTGAAAAGGCGAGAAATGTTCACTTAATTAAAAATTAAGAACTTTTTAAACATTTCTCTAAATTGATTTTATTTACTTATCGCAGTGGAAGAATTTCCAAATAATACTTTTTATCATAATTACAAATATACACATCGTTATCTTACAAGAGATATGCATTCGGAAAAATGTATGTTGCAAGTGTACAAAAATATTCTTAAAAGTTATAATAGTAGATGCGTTTGTGATAGCAACATATATCGCATAAAATATAATAGAATTTCGACGTTTTAAAATAACAATGTGCAATTTTTATAGCATATTAATGTATTTAAGTTGAATCTAACATATAAAGCATACACTATGCACGAATTAAACAAGAGATTAAATGATTTCGAAATCGATTAACCGACATTTGTTGCCTTATGATAATTCTATATTTATTTATAATTGTATCTATTTTTTCCTCATTAAGTGGTCAAAAAATAAAGACTTTTGTATGAAGAGCTGGTTAGCATTGCTCGCAAAAATTCTCGAAACTACGAGACAATATATTGTAAAGAAGTTGGAAAGTATTGTTCCACTTTATATGTGTGTATATTGCATAAAATCAAAATTTATGAGCATTGGTTATATGCATTGTAAAATGGTTTAGATATAAGTATTGCATAATGGATAAGAAATAATAGCTTTTATTTATTATATGATTTTTATGTGTAAATTCTGTTAATTTTCTGAAACTATAATTGTATCGATATTCTTACTATAATTGATTTTCCTTGAATTTCGCTACATCTTTGTACAAGAATGTAATTTTGCAATGAAAAGATATTTTCCCAAACTAAAGGATTACTATAGAGTTTGGTAATAAAATGTAGTAATAAAATAAATTACTACGTTATCATATGTGTATATTGTATAAAATTAGAGATTACAAGAATTCTCAATGCGTGCTGAAAAAATCTACAAACGGCACATTACTGAGAAAGTAAAAATATATTTAACTTAAAACTTTTATGTAAAATATTTTAAAATTTCTCGAGAGTAGTTTATTTTAATAAAATGTAAAGTGTTCATGATAACAAGCAAAAGAGCTTTGATCAAAAGTGGCCATATCATTTGTATGCATATTTATTAAAATTATTTTTTCCAATAAATATCGTCAAGTCATCGGAAAAGGGACCAAACTCCGCATTTTCCAGACAGGATATATTCACACATTTGTATATGTACGGTGGTGAGAAAAGTAATATATATTTTGTTGTATGTACATGCATAATGTTATAATTTTCATACATATCCAATGTATTGTAAGTACAGATGTTAGATCGTTATAACATTTCATCATTGTTGTACTCGATAAAAATATCGCGAATATCAGGCAAAAAACATTCCGATAAAATTGTGCCAAGAGAAGGCGCTGTCTTAAAATACGTCCAAGTTGATAATAATATTCTTAAAACAATGGTGTAAGAATATGTAATACAAAATTGATATTGATCGGTATAAATAATTGTTGGCAGGCGGAAAAGATAGTTGGCAATATTACACGATCAAATTTGGATTAAATGTACATTAAATAATTAAGTTTGCAGAATTTGAAATACGTCTACAAATTTTATTTCCTGTTGTTTCATGATCCTTTTTCCTATTTCTATCACTAATCACATAAATAAATCATATAAAAAACGTAGTAAAATTTCTGTTCTTTTTATAAAAATGTTTTCACAGAATTTATTGATTCGATTCTGTTAAAATATTCCTTTTCTTTTTTCAATTAAAAATTATTCGACAATACAAATTTCTAAGAAAAATGTATAAAAACATTAATATAAATAAAGATTCTATATCTATAATAACATTTTCTTTGATATTACTTTTTAATTCATCACTTTGATAAAAGCTGATCAATTTCTTTGCAATATGATAATATTAGTATGTGTCAGTATATCTACACGGAGAAAATTTTATATCAAAAATTACTATGTACGATAGTAGCCGCGGACCATGAAGGAATTATAAAAATTTTTACTATGATTTCACCGTAATAACTTACGTATAGCATACATTATACGTAAGTT